GTAATGGAGTAATGGATGACTAATTATATATATATATATATATATATATGATTGAACAAATTAAAATTTTAAATAAATATATATATATATATATATATATATATATATTTTTTTTTTTAACTGTGTATTTTTATAACTGAAAGTAGAAGGTATCAGAGAAAATACTATTTGAAAATCATAATTTTAACATTATGTAATCAACTGTAATGTTTTGAACATGCTAATATTAATCAAATTATTAATCAAATTGGTCAAGTTATATGGTTCTAAACGTTCACAATTTATAACGTACAACAGAATATACCAAGCCACTAATATTGCAACATTTTGACTACTTGAAAAAAAAAAGAAAAAAAAAAAAAAGGAAACACAGAATGCTCTGTGTTTGGCAATCAAATTTATTCAGTGTGTAACTGGAACTCTACACACAAATAACCATATTATCAGAACAACCTCTAACACAACTGTCAACACAGTAACTACTGAGACAAGGGCGTTCATGATTAGTTTGTTTCATGGCATGACGAGTTTGACTGAGTTTGTTTGAACTCGAGGCTCAAAGCTGCAGGACAGTTCGGATACTGTGGAAGACACAAAAATTGCATTTAGAAATCAATTTGTTACCCATATTGCATAAATATAATATTACAAGAAACGCCAGATAAAAACAGGCATGTTATAATGCATGTACCTCTTCCCAGAATGCATCAGGTCAAAGGCCTCATTGATCTGGGCAAAGGGCAATGTGTGAGTAACAAACTCATCCACCATCAGCTTCTTATTCATGTAGTCATTCACTAGCTTAGGGACACTCTCCACACTCTTCCATCCTGAAAGACAAAGAGAAAATCCTTCTCGTATGAAGTGAATTGCCCGGCATATCATATTTATATGCTATTTGTAAATGGTAACGTTCTATAATACCAATAATTCTGTAATAAAATAATAATAATAATAGACACAAAATAAAAAACAATAAGATTATAAAACGAAAATTATAAATAAATACTAAAAATGATGCATTAAGAAATATAAAAATAATAAAATGAAAAACAAAATACATTTTTATAAAAAATACATATAATAAAAGTGATAAAAAATAAATACAATAAAATACCCACCACCAAAAGCTGTGCCTTTCCATGTACGTCCTGTGACCAGCTGAAAGGGGCGAGTGGAGATTTCTTGCCCTGCTCCTGCCACACCAATGATGACACTGGTTCCCCAGCCTTTGTGACAAGCCTCAAGAGCAGCTCTCTGAAATTCAAACATGATAACAATAATGGTCATCCTGAACCTAAGCTGTATAAAACAAGTGAAGTGAAAGTGACATGTGAAGTGAAAGTGACATGTGGCCAAGTATGGTGACCCATACTCGGAATTAGTGCTCTGCATTTACCCATCCAAAGTGCGCACACACACAGCAGTGAACACACACAAACCGTGAACACACACCCGGAGCAGTGGGCAGCCATTTATGCTGCGGCGCCCGGGGAGCAGTTGGGGGTTCGGTGCCTTGCTCAAGGGCACCTCAGTCGTGGTATTGAAGGTGGGAGAGAGCGCTGTACATTCCCTCCCCCCACCTACAATTCCTGCCGGTACGAGACTCGAACCCACAAACTTTGGGTTATGAGTCCGACTCTCTAACCATTAGGCCACGACTTCCCCTACTACAACAACAATAGTGCAATTATGCACTTCACATTAGTACAAATAGTGATAATTATTCTGGCTCTAATTTTGAGTTACCATGGAAGTAGATATTCTGTGGAACAATGACGACTTGAACACAGCTGGGTGGCTGTATTAGCCAGCTTTTGTTCAACCCTAACTAAATGGCTGATGTTTCTGCAGCTCACCATAATGCCAACATTGCCAATGCATTCGAAGGAGTAGTCAACACCTCCATCTGTCAGCTCCACCAGCACTTCCTGAATGGGCTTGCTGTGGTCCTTAGGGTTCACAAACTCAGTGGCTCCAAACGTCTTGGCAATTTCAAACTTGTCTGGGTTGATGTCAATGCCAATGATTCTGGTGGCGCCGGCTGACTTGCAGCCCATTATGACTGCAAGCCCCACTGCTCCCAAACCGAACACAGCACATGTAGAGCCGGCCTCAACCTGCCAGGATGAATACAAGTTCATGTGACATTTTGAGGCAGCAGGAAATATTAAAATATAAAGAAATACTCATTAATTAAACAAAGCAGACCTTAGCAGTATTGATGGCAGCTCCATATCCAGTGGAGATGCCACAGCCCAGCAGACACACTTTGTCCAGGGGGGCATTTTCATCCACTTTGGCCAGAGAGATTTCAGACACCACGGTGTATTCAGAAAAGGTGCTGGTACCCATGAAGTGGAAAAGCTGCTTTCCTTTACAGGTGAACCTGGAAGTCTTATCAGGCATCAGACCCTGACCTTGGGTCACCCTAAAAATAAATTACATTACAACTAAGTATCTACAAACCAAACTATTTCAGTTAGCATTAATGATAAAAAGACCTACGCTACCCTTCAAAAGTTTGTGGTTGGTCTCTTATGCTCACCAAGGCTGCATTGATTTAATCAAAAAGACAGTAAAAACAATAATATTTTTAAATATTAATAAAAAACAATTTGTTTTCTATTTTAATATATTTTAAAATTTAATTTATTCCAGTGATGGCAAAGCTGAATTTTGACCAGTAATTACTCCAGTCTTCAGTGTCCCATAATACTTCAGAAATCCTTTTAATCCCCGATTTGGTGCTCAAAAAGAAAAAAAAAACTTTTTTTCAATATTGAAATGATGAATTGAAAGTTCAAAAGAACAGCATTACTTAAAATAGCTTAAATCGTTTCACGAACAGGATCCTCACATAAGTGCCTGGTCTGTCTAGATGTTGCAGAACATAATGCAGTCCCATGTTTACTGCATCGTCCACAGACCTGTTTGCTCTGTAGGCAAACTGAAGAGGATCCAGCAAGGGTCCAGTGATGTCCTTCAGGTGGGCCAGCACCAGTCTTTCAAAAGACTTCATGACCACAGACGTTAGAGCCACAGGCCTGTAGTCATTAAGTCCTGTAATTTTTTATTTCTTTGGGATGGGGATGATGGTGGAGCGTTTGAAGCATGAAGGGACTTCGCACAGCTCCAGTGATCTGTTGAAGATCAGTGTGAAGATGGGGGCCAGCTGGTCAGCACAGGATTTCAGACAGGCTGGTGTAACACAATCTGGGCCTGGTGCTTTTTTCCTTTTCTGCTTCCGGAAGACCTGGCACACCTCGTCTTCGCTGATCTGAATTGCAGGTGTGGGGGAGAGGGGGGTTGCGGGAGGTGTGAATGGTTGTGTGGAGAGGTGTTCAGGGCAGGTGTGGGGTGTTTTTTTCAAACCTGCAGTAGAACTCATTCAGATCGTCTGCCAGTTGTTGATTCTCCACAGTGCTGGGGGATGGTGTCTTGTAGTTGGTGATTTCTTTCAGACTTTTCCACACTGATGCTGAGTCACTGGAAGAGAATTTAATCCTTATTTTTTTCAGAATAATTACTCTTTGCCACTCTGATCTCCTTTTCCAGTGTGTATTTAGCCTGTTTATACAAGACATTGTACATAATACACTGGTGTTCAATGTAGATGATTCAATGTAAATGCAGCCTTGGTGATCATAAGAGACGTCTTTCAAAAACATTTTTAAAAATCTTACAGACCCCAACTTTTTAACATTAATGTATATTCAATATATAAAATTTAGTTTGTGGATTTGTAAAGGCATGAATGCATACATGATGGAATTTACATTTTTAGATAAATTATTCCATTAAACTGAATTTAGTACTTTCATCATTATTTTCTGATGATCAACATAGCAAATTAGCTCTGAATCCACATCTTCCACCTCTGCCTCCTCTGAATCCTCCACCACCTCCATGCCCACCAAATCCTCCACGACCACCACCATTGCCACCACGACCTCCACGGAAGCCACCTGCAAATACATAATTCACTTTGTAGTTTATATCTTCAAAGGTAAACCACAATGTTAGAGTTATGTAGATGTTATATTATCAGAGATGATAATAAAACTGAATCTATCATCATATGTATACTGTTTTCTTGTGTGATCTTACCTCCTCTCCCACCTCTTCCTCCACGGGGTGGCCCCTTCTCACCTGGAGGCCTCGGGAGGAATCTCTGGAGGGGCATCAGCTTTATAGGGTCAATGAAGAACTGATGCAAGAGGAGAGAAAGAGAAAAGCTAATTAAATATATTGTCATAATACTGTAAGTTACATCCTAGGGAACTGATAAGAGGCAAAAAAGCCAAAGGAAGCAGCTAAAATTGCTTCTAAAAATCCCTTTGATATTCTGAAGCAGTATCTGCTTGTAAATTACAGATAATTTTAAAAGAACACCCACTGATCATTGTCTAATATTGAAAATAACTCTGATAAGTGGTGGGGTGTTCTTTAAAAAACATGATCGCACAAAATAAGACTTACTTTTGAAAAGTTATTTGGTGTGACATGCTGCATTCCAACATGTTTATTTATATATATATATATATATATATATATATATATAGGGGTGCACACGTTTTTCAGCCTGGTTCTCAAAAGAGCACCTGGAGATTTGGTTTGGTCCTCACACTGCACATAGTGTGACCCATTGAATAAAACTATAATATAACTATAAAAAAAATAATAATAGTGATAATAATATTATTAATATTATTGCACTATTTTTTTTTTTATAAAATAATAAAGTGTGATAATACTATTATATTTAAAAATAAAAAAGGAAGTATTAAATAACAATACAATTATTTTATAGCAAATTTTAAAATAAAGTTTTACATTTTTTAATATGAATTTTCATCATTTTCAAACTTAAAATCAGCAAGCTTTTATTTTGGCGTGTTGTCGGGAAGTATATGCGCTGTCGGGTTTAGCACTGCCGACTGAAGAGCATAAGTGACACAGTTTTGCATTGTGCATTAAAAACGGCAGCGGATAGCCTAGATTTATGCTCTCAGTTCAAATAGAAATAGTAACAGACATGTTATGCTTCAAGTACCCACCTACTACTGAAAAAATTAACAATGATGTAACATGATGTGTGGCCAAGTATGGTGACCCATACTCGGAATTCGTGCTCTGCAATGTGCTCACACACACACACACACACACACAGTAGAGAACACACACCCGGAGCAGTGGGCAGCCAATGCTGCGGCACCCAGGGAGCAGTTGGGGGTTCGGTTCCTTGTCCAAGGGTCTCACCTCAGTCGTGGTATTGAAGGTAGAAGCGCGCCAGTAGAGAACACACACCCGGAGCAGTGGGCAGCCAATGCTGCGGCACCAGGGAGCAGTTGGGGGTTCGGTTCCTTGTCCAAGGGTCTCACCTCAGTCGTGGTATTGAAGGTAGAAGAGCGCACTGGTTATTCACTCCCCCCACCTACAATTCCTGCCGGACCTGAGACTTAAACCCCGCAACCTTCGGGTTACAACCAACGGTTACAAGTACTCTAACCATTAGGCCACGACTGCACCCCTTACCATGGGAATAAGGTTCAAAACATCACTACACATCTAAGAAACCAAAAAGACTAAACTTACCTTCTGCAACTTCTTGAAGGAGGATGCCTTCATATTTTCAGAAAGTTTGACTGAAAAACACTGAGGAATTTGTTAAGAAATTGAAATGAAAATGAACTGAAATTAAATTTAGCTCATTAACTGCTAAATCTGACATATGGAATAATGGTAAAATATTAATGGTAAAAAAATAAAAATTATATTTGTATTATTATTAAACTAAATATTTAAAAACTTACAAAAAATATTTTCATACATTTTGAAATATTTATAACATGACAGTTACATGTATACAGTTTTGCGTTTATAAAGATTGTTAAAGGGGTCATATGATGCTTTTTTAAAGATCATTATTTTGTTTATTTGGTGTAACAGAACGTGTTGACATGCTTTAATGTTCAAAAAACACATTATTTTTCAAATACTGTACATTATTGTAGGTCCTCTATGCCCCGCCTCTCTCAAACGCTTAGTTTTCTACAAAGTCCCTCCTTCCGACAAATGCAGTCTGCTCTGATTGGCCAGCTGACCCAGTGCATTGTGATTGGCCGAACACCGCAAGCACTCGTCAGAAATGTAACGCCCCTTACCATAATCGCGAGCTTCATCTTTCAAATAAATGTAAAGACAGTAAATAATGTAATACGTTTTACCATCAGTTCAAGCCCGAAAGGGGAACAGAGTCGAGTGACAGATACAGTGATGAAGCTGGTATGTGTTTGCAGTACACAAGCCACGGTTAAGACAGCTGACTCTGTGATGTGACCCTCTCTCTCTCTCGCTCACACACATACACACACACACGATGCGCAAAACTCCGCATTTGAACAGTCAATAGCAAATACTTAAACTAATAACAAAACAGTAGCTGATTCAGAAGCGCCAGATTGTCATAGCAAAGTCAGAATTACCTCCTCTCCTAGGTTCACGAAACGGTCGTCCATAAAATGCATTGCTGTTCTGTTGTAAGTAATCTTAAAGATTCCTAAATGCATCTACTTTCGGAAGGCCAAATAAAGTGCTTTTGCTTTCGCCTAGAAACACACAGCGTCTCCCTGACATGCTGCTTCAACACTAACTGCGGTTACTGAAACCATGTCTTCTTTCTTTGCATGCACATTTGGGCCGCATTATGCAAATATTTCCACATAGTGAGGTAGATATGTGGGGGCGTGTTAGAACGAGCTGTTTTAGGGGGGCGTGGCAGTCTTAACTTTAATAAAGAATATCTCTTTGGTTTTGAGACTTTAGTCTTTGCAACTTCAGGGATCTTATCTATGCACAATCAGCTTGTAACACTCCAAAGAGAAAGGAAAACTTGAAATCGCATCATATGACCCCTTTAAAGATTTTACAACAAAAAGGTGAGCAAAACAACCTGAAAGAAGACATTTTAGAATTATACTAATAGGCCTTTAACTTGCTAAAAATATGAACTATATAAAACATTAGTAGAAATATTAATACAAATATGATCTATATTCAAAAGGCATCTATTAAGTTGTGTACAACAGGTTTTTAGCAAAAACGTTTTGAGCTTGTTATTATTTTTGAGCCCTTTGAAATTCATGTCAAAAAAAGAAAACAGTAGGCGTTTACAAGGTTAATTATACAAGAACCCTTCACCTGACGTCAGCATGAAGTTTTGAAGCCTTTGTAACATCTGACAGCATTGTTAAGATCCCACGCAATAACATGTAAGGATACAAAATCACGAAGCTGCCCAAAGATCTCGTCCACTGTTCCAATTTACACTTTGTTTTCCAGATATACAGGAACGTTGAAGTAGGGCACTTTGTTGTCCTCCGTCACACATTTACAGACAATATCATCCTCACAGGGGTGCATGA